ATGCCCGGAAATCAATATTGAGATAAAAGGCGTTGGACTAGAGGCCTTAATAGATACGGGGAGTAAACTCACATGTATATCCGAAGACATTTATGAAAAATATAACTATGCATGGAAAATTTTCCCTACCCTTCCGTGTTACAATGTCACATAATTATATAAATATAGTTATTTATTACATCAATAATACATAAATTATGTAAGATCATTAGATATGTATATTTCGCGTTACATATCATTTTAATGGTTGTTAAGGGCGCTTATTTGGCATTTGATAAAAAAATAATGGCAAAATGTCAGTAAATAATTATATGAATAATTTATATATATAATTCTATGTGAAATGTATTTCAAATAGTTTTCAAATGCCCGCTCAAAGTTTTTTTGGGCTCTCACATGGTGGCGCCGACTGTCATCAGTTATGAACTACGGCCGCAACAGGCTTCTACAGACTTTGCTTCCCTCTCCGACAGTCATCTTTGTAAGGAGAAGCGATTTTTAGTGCTACGTAGAAAGCATGTGTATTTCATTTTGAGGTTAATTGTCATCGTGTAACAACGTGTCAATGAGTTCAGTGTTAATATTTTGTGATAGTGATTTTCTGTGGATACAAAGTGCGTTTTAATCTTTAGTTTGCACGTGTTAGCAATAACTACGTCAATAGTTTAAGAATCTGTTTGTTCTTTAAATTCAGTTAAAATGGGATGAAGTCCTTCAAAATCAAAAACAAAAAAGTCAAAGGAATCGACAAAAAAACATTTGAGTAAATCTCCTCATAATGTAGAAAAAAATTTTAATTCTCTTGAAGTACATAAATATGCCACATCACAAACGAGTCCATATTTTGCCACCCCAAACTAGAATTTTCGTGTTCTTAAAATTAATCCAAGCATAAGAGGAGACACGAGTCCATTTTTTGATTTCGAAACATCAGTTCAAAACAAATCAAATTCTGACTCTTCGTCTCAATTGTTGAGGCTACATCAGAGACATAAGTAACATTTCACGAAAACGAAAATCGACAACAAAATCAACAGCAAAATCAGCAACAAAAACAACGTATTACGTTTCAAGTAAAATCACAGGAATCTTGTGATGATGAGGATAAAACAAGAAGCAAATATTTCACAAAAAAATAAAGTCTATATCCTTCTTCACATGAATTGGAGAAAACACATACAGACATACTGATATCGCAATTACGTACGCCTACATGACAATTGTCAAATTTACGAAAACGATATTCTGATGAGACATCTGACCAGTAAGTTTTAATTTTGTTTATAAGTTTTTAAAGTACTTTTTAACAATTTACTATTTACTTTTTTCAGTAAAAGATATAGAAAAAAACTTAAATTACAAAAACAAATGTCTCAACTTAACGCTGCATTATCTTCACAGAAATATGATCTTCAAAGGTATTACGCGTAATTATATTTTTTACTTACAGTTAATGACAAATACATCTTTTGTATTTGCTACGAATTCGAAATTAATTTTTTAACGTAATAAAATTTAAATTTGTATTAGTTCTTGTTTTTAAACTTTTATTATATTATTAGTTTTCATTATTTTTTTTTTTTTTTAGAGACAAACAAACCAATACTCAAGAGCCAAGACAAAACATATGCACAAATTTACGGACGAATGCCTCGTTACATGATGATCCATGCTCGATACAGGACTCTGTCTGTATACCGACAGAATTTAATAATACCCTGTATAAGTATAGTGTCACATGTGCTCAACCGGATTTTGTTTTTAATCTTTACAGAAATATTCTATCTGAGACAGCTGGAAATTGTTTATTCTATTGTTTTTTAAAACTTTTAAATCTTACGATTACACCTCTACAACTGAGATGGCTACTACAACAATCACCTTTTTTTGTTTTTATGTTCGAATCCCAGAAGTGCAAATGAGATAC